CTTTACTGAACATCCCATCATCCCCACTTAGGCTTTGATCTGTCCTTGGATGTTCTCTATGTCCTATGTCTTTACTGAACACTCCGCCATCCTCAGTGAGACTCTGATCTCTTATAAGCATGTCATCATTGCTTTTGTCTGGAGAACCGCAGCATGATTCAAACTCACGTGCATTTTGAGGATAGTTGACAATTCCTTCTCCAGATGCTTCATTTTTAGTCTTACAGCTTGGAACAGCCTCCTGTGAAAGAGTCTTTTGTCCTTTTGAATTCAAGGGATCTCCAGCACTTGATTTACTCGATGGGACCACTATTTTCAAGGAAACATAAGGCTTGCCATTCATGGTAAACACACTCTCGGCTGGTGGGTTCAACACAGCAACTGGTGCGCCATCATCCCTAGACATCAGGATGGCTGGTACATTAGGGGTTAAGTTTTGATCTTCTTGAGTGGTTTCTCTAAGGACATAAGAATTGTCATTCAACTGTGATGGATTGGTAAGTTCCAGATCTTGGTAGTAATAAATTGTTCTAGGCCCATTGTTCATTTTCTTTCTTCTTGAAGGGAATTTACTTCTGATCAGCACAGCAAGCTGTAGAAAAGGGAAATAAGTGTGAATACCAGCAAGTTAAATATATCTTCTATTTATTCATGCAATTATCATAGTTTTGTCAATGTGAAATGTAGTTCTCTTTTGGTTTAAGTCTCAACGCGTTACGTTTAAAGAAACGATAGACAAAATATATCAGATATACAGACCTTATCAAGGACTTACATTAGTGTTAGTCAGAGGTTCCTCCGGGTGGTCCCGTGCATATGCTGCAGCGATCTCCCTGAGGAAGGTCTGCTTTCCTGGTTGGTCTCGGAGATTGGAGTCCACCCATCTGCGCCCCAGAGCCATCCTGTTAGTTTCTATCGTTTTCCTGTTCAAGGTTTCCACTTTCGTTATAGCTTGTCCCTCTATGGATCTCGGTGTGCTCTGGGTCTCCTCTTGAACAGGTCCCTCATTCAAGTCGATTGTGGTGATTCCTTTTAATTCTCCCCCCTCTAGTCTTGCGATGATATGGTCTTCCATCATCACATTTGATTGTCTGTCTGATGTTTTCCTTTGCAATTTATCTTTAAAATATTTTTCACTGATGGAGTTTGTATTGGTTTGTTGATAATCCAAGTAAAGGCAGCTCTCTTCTTCCACTTCTATATCCTTGACCTCCACATCCAGAAGCATAGATTTTGGGGGCGATCTTAAATCTCTGTTACAAAAGACATACTCCATATCATCTTTACTATCCGATGCCGTCGAGTCTGTAATCATGATCACGACATCATGATCTTTGTCAGAAATGTTATGTGGATTTTCATCACTCTCTGAATTTCCATCACTACTCTCCTTAACCAAGCTGGACAGTTCACTCAAACTACTACAGACACTTCTATCATCTTCTTCTTTATTATGATGCTGAACTTCCAGAGCACCCAGTACATCTGCCTTTGACTTTTCGTGGTTGTTGATGTTTTCATAGTTGCTGTATTCATAAGGATTACTTGCTGACAACAACTTCCTCCGGGCTACAGCAGCTGGGAGACGTAAATCAAGAGGTGAAGTTTCCTCTAAGATCAAATTGCCTGCAGAAGAGGCTTCCGTGTGAAGTCTTGGCGTCATGACTAACTGTCCATCATGTCCAGGAGCGGACTGCTGATTATTAAAAGACCCCTTATTTACAGAAGGAAAGTCAACAGGTGGCAGTATTTTCGAACTCGAAGACTCTGATGTTGCGCCTAATTGTCCAAGGGGATTAGCAGTGGCCTGGATACCATTAAAAAGCACATAATCTATGGCAGGAAAGTCGTCTGATGACTTGGCTTTTGGTCTGGCTTGGGCTTCTTGACGGACCGTATTTGCTGCTTTTGGCTTGATGATCACATTTTTGTAGACGTAGATCTGGGCTCCCTGCTTGCCCCGGCGGCATTTTCTGTTTTGGAATCTTGACTTCAGAATCTTCCCAAACTGTAAAAGAGAAGAGAGAATCGCATGAAAAATGTAAGTTGTAGGTAATCTAAACACAAGTAAGAATGCATTTCAAGAAAATTATTATCGGTAAAGTGACTGTCATCATGATTTGTTCCTACTTATCTTGACTTCTTATTATCTTTTTGTTTATATTAGTTCAATCTAATGACATTCCTCAACTTATCATCAACTTCCCTTGATAATACCAAACGAACTGAGTTGCTTTCATGCCCACTTTACTCGTCTTCGCTATTAACACGAAACGAGTTCCAACCTGTTTCCGAGTTTTAATACCCTATTTTATACATATATCCAGAACCATTTCAAAAAGAAATACTACACACCTGGGCTATATCCAGATAGTGCTGGGGATTATCCTTCAAGTAGGCATTGTAAAGAACACAGACAGGAGTGACTTGACCTTCCTTCTCCTCCAAACTTTCTTGGATCCAGTTCTCGCAAACTGAGCGCCACATGGGACTGTATCTA